CTGCTGCTGCTGCTGCTGCTGCTGCTGTTGCTGCTGCTGTTGCTGCTGTTGCTGTTGCTGTTGCTGCTGTTGCTGCTGTTGCTGCAGATGCTGCAGCACTGCAGTTGGGGGCCCCTCCATCGATAAAGTCCCTAGAAGTACCCGGTTTGACCTGCTGCTGCTTCTGCTGCTGCTGCTGCTGCTGCTGCTGCTGCTGCTGCTGCTGCTGCTGATGTTTTTGTATGATGATATCAACGAGTTGCTGCGTCATGTGTGTGAGCTGTGCATGCATCCAGGGCAGTCTGCTGCTGCTGCTGCATGCTGGGCTCTGGTTTGCTTCTAGCAGCCAGGGGTTTAGTTCTTTATCTATAAGTATATCTAAACCAAACAACTCAAAACATGAATTTCTTTGTTTTATATAAACACGCCCAGCAACCATCACATATAATACTAATAAACGTAAACGAGGAAGAAATATATTATACCAATACCTGCTGTCTTTGCTGCTGCAACTCCTCCCGCTGCTGCTGCTCCTGCTGCTGCTGCTGCTGCTGCTGCTGCTGCTGCTGTTGCTGCTGTTGCTGTGCCGGGCTAAGCAGCAGATCAGATGCTCTAATGGGAGTACCCCTTCTCCCTTTTCTTCTTCTTTTAGGCATTCAGTACATATAGGCACATCTCCTCTCATTGCTGCTGCTGCTGCTGCTGCTGCTGCTGCTGCTGCTGCTGATGCAGGTGCAGCAGCAGCAGCAGCAGCAGATGTATTGATCCCGTGTTTTCTTTCTTCTTGTGTGTGTTGTTTGTTTCTTTTATATCCTTGTTCTTTCTGCTGCCCCTGCTGCTGCTGCCCCTGCTGCTGCTGCTGCTGCTGCTGCTGCTGCTGCTGCTGCTGCTGCTGCTGTTGTTTGCGTTTATTTCTATTGAGGGTACAATTAGAGATATGTCTGTATGGGTTTTTTAATATATCTACACTATAGGGTTCAGCACAAACCCTCAAATAGGGTTTATTATATATAAAAACAGATAAAGGAGAAAAAGAAGAGACAAAAACCCATACACGTAAGTCAAACTTGCAGCAGCAACTCAGCAGCAAAGGACGCTCAATATAACGCTGAGCTAAACGACCCCGTAAACCACGCCCTGAGAAGCAACACAATAAACTTATATATATATATATATATATATATATATATATATTTTTTTTTTTTTTTTTTTTTTTTTT